GGTACCAGGAGAATCGCTCAGTGAAGGAGAGCTCATCTAAGCCAATCATAAGCCTGTAAAGCCTAAGGGAGAAGAGTTATAATCATTTAAAAATTATAAATTTGGTCGCCATCTTGAAAAATCAACCTTAACCCTACATATAGGCTACCGCCTATATAAAAATCTTATTTCTCTACAAATCAAAGTATGAAACTCCGCTTTCGTTGTCACTTTACATACCTACATGAAAGCAAAGAACAAAAAATTACTTGTGTGTAGCAATGAAGCTATACAGCATAAATATAGACCACGATTTGAGAATTGTTTGTGGGAATAAGATGAATTGAAATAGGCTAACAACACACCTGGGATCAATTAAAATTATGCTTACATAACAGTTAAGCCTAAAATAATGCATTTGGACTTCTTGTTAAGATTGCGTTGACATGGTGTACTGACTACAAATTCGTTACAGATGCAGGGAAAATGCTCCCAATCGAACCAAGTAACAAAACATGATCATAATGAACATATAGAAGTGTGACAATCAGTGTTTTCTGTATAATGCTCAGCTACTTGCCACCTCACGAGGTGTGCTTTTGAGCTTCTTTTTATAAATTTTTAAACTTAAAGCAAATTTTGTCAAAAATTTCTAGGAGAAACTTCTTAATTTTTATAATGCTTTTCATGCATATTGAGAATCATTTCAACAGACGGCAGAAATTGTTAGAAGTGGAACGTAATTGGAAGGAAATAGTCGATGCAATAAAAGTAAAGGCAGTTTTACTGAAGAACTTCCTGATAACAAAAAAGATGATGAGCCTCAATTACTGGGTGAAATAATAGGAGCAGTAGCTGATTTTGCTGAAATGCATATAAATGTACCTAATTTAACATTACAGCAATAAGAGGCAATACTTAATGTAGATCGAAAAAGAATTATTGATAAAATTAAGACTCATTTCATAAGTCAAAATGAAAGTGAAGACTTATCAGAGAATGAGTCTTCAAAACTACTTAGATTAGATGAAGTCAAACCACTAAAAATGTTTATTAGTGGTGATGGTGCAACTGGTAAATCATTTTTATTAGAGGCAATAAAATGCATAGTAGATGACATGGCATCCAAAAAATGGTCAAATTATGTGAGCTATAGTAGCACCAACAGGTATAGCCGTTTTCAATTTTGGTGGACTAACAATACATAGATTATTCCAGCTACCAATAGAGCATGAGGTAAGGACAGCTGGATATTGAGCTTTGAATAAAGAAGCTCAGAAAAGAATAAAAATGACAATAAATGGTATCCAATCTAAATCTAGCATACTCATTTAGAAAATATATTTGGAACTGATGAATTGTTTGGATCTAAAAATATTTTATTTGTAGGTGACCTTGTACAATTTCCACCTCATAATAGTAGACCAGTATTTAAATTAGCAACAAACTTATAAAAACTAGACTTACAGCTGCAAATGCAGTTAACATACGGAAAGAAACAGTAAAGTATGATGAACTAACAATCAATGAGCAACAAAAAGGAGGCAAAACTTTCTTTAAGATGCTTGATTCTGTTAGGCATGTTCTCTGACTGATGAAACTATTGATACTCTTAAGAGTCGCATATTTAAGGTTTCAATTTAAAAGAAATATAACGAGTTGGAAAGTGAAGGAACAAATCCTCCAAATTGCCTATTTTCTAATGTAGACTCCTGCCAAAAAGCCAATGAATTAAACGAATTAAATAGAATTAGCATGTGTTGATGTTGTTAATGAAAGTGGTAGCACAGCAAATTTTGACAACAAAAAAAAATTAGAAAAACTAAAAGATCAATCAACTAAAGCAGCTGGTTTAGAAACTGTATTGTCTGTAGCAGTAGGCTGTAGAGTAATGCTAAGACGTAATATTGATGTGACTGTAAGATTAGTTAATGGTGCCATGAGTATATAATGGGTATTTATGCTACATGTATATCAATTCAATTTGATCATATTGATGTACCTTGTGACATAGAAAGGGTTACATCTAGATTTATGCTATCAAAGAATATGCATATACACAGGAAATAGTTTCCCTTTATACTTTCTTATGCTATTACTGTACATGGTATGGCATACGTTGCATTGTCTCGTGTACGTACATTAAATGGATTACATTTATGTAATATTTAACACATGGGGTGGCGTGTATTACTAGATTTATCCGCACAAGCTTCCGTTTAAGTTGACAGAAATAGTGCACGAGGACTGAAGGCCCCAGTGCGCAATTTTTGTCAACGAGACCGGAAGCAAGTGCGATTAAATCCAGTAATACACCACGCCCATGTGTTAAATGTTTTAAAGAAGACTTGTAGCAAAGATTAGCAGTATTTATCATGTGGCTTGGTGCTAATGGCGGACAGCAGCAGCTCGATTAGAAAAGGAAAGAAGAGCTCTATTACGCTAGCAACAGTTGGGAGCAAGCGCATTCTGTACTATTCAAAAGACGCCTTAGATGTTGCTGCTCAGGGAGTTGTTTCAAAAAAAACCCTTTGTATCAATGAATGGGCCCAGAAGATCTTAGATCGTTGGATTCAGTTTCGAGCAACGATAGAGGATCCATCTGAGGCCGTTCCTTGTGATCTCCTGTCCTGTAACGACCCACAAGTATTAAGTGAATGGTTGAGCAAGTTTGTGATGGAGGTTCGCCAAGAGTCTGGGGAGCCATATCCTCCTAGGAGTGTACAGAGCATTCTTTTTGGCCTCTATAGAATCTCTAGAGAGAACGGTATTTTCTGCAATTTTTTTAGATAAGAAGGATTCTCGCTTTAGCTATCTTCACAAGACACTTGTTATGCTCTGTAGCAAGCTACATTTGGAAGCTGTGGGGGCAACTGTTCATTCAGTACCAGTTATTACTGTGGAAGATGAGCAGTTACACTTGGATGGTGGTGTTTTTTTAATGGTTAATCCAACGAGCCTTTTGCATATGGTTTTTTATTTTGCTTCCTTGCACAGTTGCCTGCGTGGTGGGCAGGAATAACGACACTTATCCGTGAGCCAGTTTGTGAGAATACATGATGTCAGTCAATATGATGCTAACACATACAATGGAAAGACAGATTTCATTTCAAACAAGCGTATTAGTGTAAAAAAATTCCTATGATTGTTTTCACCACCGTATGTTCATTGCTCACATGTATTAATTCTCACTTGTATTAATTCTCACTTGTATTATTCCTAGCATCATAATTATTGACTTTTATTATTTATGATGAATTTAAGCATGCACAGTTAGACCTACATATGTACTAACACATAACACAAACATACATAAACATAACTATCGTACATAATTATTAATCTTATCATCTCTCCGAAGAATGAGATTATTATTGATCTTGTCATCACTCCGAAGAGCGATGTTATTCATCTTATCATTCCAAAAAGTGAGATTATATTGATATTATCAGCACTCCAAAGAGCGTGATCATAATTAATCTTATCATCACTCCAAAGAGTGATTTTAATGATCTTATGGTCACTCCGAAAAGTGAGATTATATTAATCTTATCATCACTCCGAAGAGCGTGATTTTATTGATCTTATCATTACTCCAAAAAGTGAGATTATTTTGATCTTATTATCACTTTAAAGAGCGAGATTTTTTTTATAGAGAGAGAGAACGACATATACGTGCATTGTACAAAGACACATATGCATACAATACTATATATACATTAAACAAAATACAAGGAACACAATAAATGTATCGGTACATACATACAAAGCTAAACACATTCATATACTTAACATTTTTAAAACATCCAAAGCATAATACATGTACAGTACATACATACAATACAAACATAATCGTAATACATCTATAGTAAATATACGCTCAAATCATGAATATTATTTAAATTATTCAAATGTATTATCCACTCTAAAGAGCTGGATTTTATTAATGGTATCTTTACTAAATACTTAAAGCAAGAGTGAGATTTTACTAATATTACAATTACTGATGCTAAAATCCACCCTAAAGAGCTGGATTTTAGTAATGGTATCTTCACTCAATACTTAAAGCAAGAGCAAGAGTCACATTTTATTCATTTCTCATATAGGTACACCTATTGTTTATGATGTAACCATCACTAATATTACAAGTTCTGATGCTAAAATCCTCTCTAAAGAGCTGGATTTTATTAATTTTATCTTCACTCAATACTTAAAGCAAGAGTGAGATTTTACTTCTGGGCCCACCATCCATCCCCAATCTCCATTCCAATAATAATAATATTTATGAATAGAGTCAAGAGTTGCGTATTATACTATAATATTGACCACAACACTTTTGTGGTTTTAATTTGTATTAGTACATTTTCTCTTGACTATCCCAGAAGACACATCATCATTTATAATCTATGGTTCCTTAGTCTATCCATTTCATCATTTGCTACTGTTGATGATGTGATTTTCTTTTCGACTAGTCCTAGTAGAGCAACTCCTTGGAGTGTTCTTACTCTACTTAAGGCAACATATGCCATTCCATCTTCAAACATTTTAGGGCCTAAATCGATTACTGCAGCATCAAGAGATAGACCCAGAACTTCATGTATAGTAGCTGCCCAGCAAGGTAGTAATGGTAACTGTGTATGCTGTAATGTTACTCCTTGCTTGCCATAGAACTTGGCCATGACTGGTTCTATTGGGACAGCTTCTTGTTCTGATGAATCATCAATTGTGACACGGCTCACCAGACCTACACGTGGGTCATGAAATTTGCATATACTTTTTGTGGTAAGTCCCCTTTCTTTGCTTGATCATCAGCTCCATTTGGCCAAGAGAAACCAACAATTATTCCTCTAGCTCCATTTACTAATCCTTCCTCATATAATGTTACATCGTAACATAACCTGTGCTGCTATGGCTAACTTCACTTTACGTGATAAGCCAGCACAATCTCTATTATTGGAAGGTATGAGTGACTCTGGGACTTCATGTGATACTACACCAGGAATCAGTGTTGTTGACTCTACTATTGAATTCTCTGCATCAAATTCATATAGTTTAGTAGAGTGTGATAAGTCTTTCAATCTACTGTCATTATATTCTTCTACTTGTTCTTTTAAAGGCATTAGGCATAATGCATCAACAAATGGAGGTTGACTGACATCAAGGGATCCCTGATTACACTTGTCAATCTCGATCAGAGTACACTTATGTCAGACTTTGTCTGAGAACCAGTTCTGACACGGTTGAGAATATCTGAATATTCTGTGTCTCCTCTTTGTCTCATATTTTGAGTTAGTTCTATTAGTTTGAACTCATCCTTCCACAAGTGTGTTGAGCCTGGATTATTGCCTCTGCCATCTTGAAATAAAAATTTGTCCCTCACTGGTGGCAACTAAAAGAAGTCACCTACTGCAATGACATTCAGTCCTCCAAGGAGAATGTCAGTGTCATCAGTTCCTTTAATTTCAGTTAGCCTCTTGTGAATGCAGGACATTGTGAAGTATGAGACCATACTTATCTCATCTATTATTATGGTGTTCACATATTTCCATGATTGTCTAAAATCCTTTAATCTCTCAGCTACAAGCTTTCTGTCGGTGGTGGAGTTTCCATGCTCTACAGGAAGATTGAGAGCCTGGTGAATAGTTAATCCACCAATATTAAACGCTGCAACACCAGTTGGTGCCATTAAAACACAAGCATTTCCAGCACCAATATGAGCTGTTTCTAAATGCCTTTTGATGACACTTATTACATGGCTTTTACCAGTTCCAGCACCACCTGTTATAAACATACGAAAAGGGCTGGGCATTGACTCTCTGGTCCTCATTTGAAAATCATGTACTGCTCTTGAATACTCAAGGACCTTCTCATAAGGGACTTTCTGGGAATCATTAAGACTTGCTATACTTGCTTCAAACTCTGAGTCTGAAAAGCGGTGCCTTGAGATAGAGTCTAGAGTCAATGCATCTTCTGTGTCACCAATATTTTGTTGTATATTTTGACCGCATAGATTTTGATGATCATTATTATCATCAGCTAGTAATGCAGCTAAATTATCAAAGTATAGTTCATGGTCATATATTGGATCATGACCATCACCTTCATTATTATTTTCGAAATTTACGTGTGAAGTACAAGGAGCAACAGGAGCGTACACAGCATCGCCACTTTGATTTAGTACACGCAATTGGTCTGTCGCTCTTTGTATTTCATCAGCAAACGAGGAGTGTTTTTCTGTACTTAAAACTTGTAATTTGTCTTTACTTGCTATAAATGATGCTTGAGCAGAGCCATGATTTCCAATTAAATCAGGAGTCTCATTTCTCCATGGGAGATAAAGAAAGATTAACTGATAGTAGTAACTATCACCATGAGGCTTGTGTTATTGTTGGTAATCTCAAGCATGCTTGCTTTCGTCTTAGATATATCTTTCCTAGACCATTCTTTAGTTCATATCTAGGTTGGGCACAGGAAATTTTTTGGCTCATAATTTGTAGCAGCAACATTATACCATACAGAAAAGTGTGCTAGACTCATACTGTCAAATGGTTCTCCATCAGGACGAGATTGATATCTATCTAATGGACCAGGATTGAAAACATCATCTCCAGTACTCATAGCTCTTAGCTTTGTAATTGACTTAAATAGTCTTCCTCTTTTCTCTGGTCTGTTTGTATTTATAAATACATATGATCGACTAGAGCCTCTAATGTAAGCCAGTAGTACAAAATAGTGCCTCTTGAGCACCGAGAATCCTGTGACTTAAAGTGTTTCCTATTTTTAAAAGTTTTTGTGTCTGGGAACAATTTACTGGTAATTTATCTAGCTTTCTTGCTATCTA